GTTGTCTTCGCGCTAAAAATCTGGAGACACTATCTGTATGGTACAAAGTGTATGATCTATACTGACCATAAGAGCCTTAAGTACTTGTTTGATCAAAAGGAGCTAAATATGAGACAAAGAAGATGGATGGAACTACTTAAGGATTATGATTGTGAGATTCACTATCATCCAGGTAAGGCAAATGTAGTTGCCGATGCACTTAGTAGGAAGGAGAGAAACGGACCAATCAGAATTCGAGCCATGTGGATGAGTGTTAAAGTGGAACTTCTAGACCAAATACGGGATGTTCAAAAGGAAGCTTTGCTCGAAACGAACATCAAAAAGAAGAGAATGATTGGACAAACTAAGACCTTGACAACTGGACCAGATGGAATATATAGACATGGGAATCAGGTTTGGATTCCTAGTTTGGGAGATCTAAGAAATGTAGTGATAGACGAAGCACATAAGTCTAAATATACTATGCATCCAGGTAGTAATAAGATGTACAAGAATATAAAGGAAAGCTATTGGTGGCCTGGCATGAAGAGGGCAGTAGCTGGCTATGTGGGGAGATGTTTGACGTGCTTAAAGATGAAGACCGAGCATCAAAGACCGTCTGGAATGTTACAACAAATGGAGATCCCAGTATGGAAGTGGGATATGATCACAATGGATTTTGTCACCAAACTTCCAAGGACAGTAAAGGGGCACGATGCCATATGGGTAATTGTGGATCGGCTAACGAAATTTCCTCATTTCTTGCCGATCAGCGACAAGTATACACTAGAAAGATTGGCCCAGCTTTATGTCAATGAAATCGTGTCGAGACATGGTGTACCAATATCCATTGTCTTGGATAGAGATGCTAGGTTTACTTCATGGTTTTGGTCAAGCTTTCAGCAAGAAATGGGAACGCGGTTGAACTTGAGTACCGCATATCATCCTCAAACTGATGGCCAGAGCGACAGAACGATACAAACAATAGAATATATGTTGAGGGCTTGCGTGATTGACTTTGGAGGTAGTTGGGACAACCACCTCCCATTAATAGAATTTGCTTATAACAATAGTTATCATTCGAGCATCAAGGCGGTGCCTTTTGAAGCGTTATATAGCCGTAAGTGTAGAACTCCAATTTGTTGGGCAGACGTTGGAGAAAGGCAACTAGCTGGACCCGAGTTAGTCCAACAGACATCTGACAAAATAGTACAGATCAGGGAGAGGTTAAAGGTTGCGCAAGATAGACAAAAGAGTTATGTGGATAGAAGACGTCGACCTTTGGAATTCCAAGTAGGTGATAAGGTCTTGCTGAGAATATCGCCATGGAAAGGGGTCGTAAGATTTGGGAAGAAAGGTAAGCTAAGTCCAAGATATATCGGACCGTTTGAAATAACTGCAAGAGTAGGAGCAATTGCTTATCGGTTGAAGCTACCGGAGGAGTTAGGCAGTATTCACAATACCTTTCATGTGTCAAACTTGAGGAAGTGTTTAGCTGACGAATCAATT